CTATCTATCTATCTATCTATCTATCTATCTATCTATCTATCTATCTATCTATCTATCTATCTATCTATCTATCTATCTATCTATCTATCTATCTATCTATCTATCTATCTCAGTGTTCAATAAATTCTCAGTTCTGTTCCAGCTGAGGCTGGAAAAAAGAGTTAAAACAATCAAGAATGTGATTTTGTCAAATGCCAGTATGTATTTTTTTAAAGTTACACTTGTTAAATAAAGGGAATCAATTGTATGGCTTAAAAAAGCAGAAATTAAAAAATCCTTTGATGAATAAAAGTAATTCATTTATAACAAAATATCTATCACAATTTTTGAAGAAGAAACAGTAAGTACAGTGGGAGGTAACTGAATCTTTCAGTTGTCACCTGTCTATTTGTAACTTTGAGGACTGAGTATTGTAATGTACTCAATATGAAGCTGCTCTTGAAACATCAGCTGGTGGTACTGAATGCTGAAATTTCACTTATTATAACTAAGGCATTGTGGAGCAAGCTTTCATTTCCCATTGAAACCAATAGAGAGGTTATATAGAAGGCAGTGTTCCTGTAGGTAATTTGAGTCCAGGATATTTGGAATGGTAAACACCTTGAACCAGGTCTGGTGAGTAAGTGTAGATAAGTCAAAAAAAAGTTGTAGATTGCTAGTCCTGTCAATCAGTATTTCCCCCCTCTGAAGTAGCCCCATAAAACTAAGAAATTCAGTATGTGCAGAGAGTGCATACTAGAATGAGTGAGGATCATTTGTGTAAACTATCTTTGACGAAACATACTGGACTAGGTTTCTTTGTGTTTCTTTTTTTCTTTTTCTTTTTTTCCCTACTGCCATATTTGCTTTTTAACGGATTTCTTTCCTCCTTGTCAAGGTAGGAATTGCAGTCGGCTCCCCCCCTCCCACCGGAGTTCTTATTGACTGTGTGTTTCTAAATCACTTTGCAATGTATCTTTTTCCCACCTCTGGTCCTCATTTTTTTAAATCTCCACTAGATGGTTCCTTTTATATTTTTCATTCCTTTCTTTAGCACTATTCCATATAGAAATAAAACAATTGACAGAGCTAAAGAATAATTTCTAAAAAAGACTGTAGTGGGTGTGTCATTAAAACATGATATGCTAGGTTTTGCCAGAAAGAAGTTTGACATTTAGATAGATAGATAGATAGATAGATAGATAGATAGATAGATAGATAGATAGATAGATAGATAGATAGATAGATAGATAGATAGATAGATAGATAGATAGATAGATAGATAGATAGATAGATATACATACAGTATACATACATACACATACACATATACATATACATACATACATATATTGGCATGGTGAGGTGTACAGAGATAACCCCCTGCTCTGCCAGGAAACTCTGGCTGGTTAGTTCACTGGGTTGAAGTACTTGGCTGTGGAGCCAAGGGTTGGGAGTTTGATACCCCACTGATGCTTCTGAGAGAAAAACCAGCCTGTGTGGCCTTGGGCAAGCTGTGCAGCAGCAGAGTGCTGCCAAAAGAACGGAATTGGTAAACCACCTCTGAGTACACTGGAAAAGGTTGTCATTAGTTGGAATCAACTTGAGAGTGCACCGTGTTTATTTTTAAAATGCCCGGAGAACAGCTGCTGTATCCGATCCACATTTAACCTAAGATACGTGAGGCAAAACAAACAAAACTGGAAAATTCAAATTGACACAAAAATGGCAGATGTGGCCTTGGAACCTCATCCACCAATCAGGGACCATGCTAGCTAACTCACTTTCTGCCCCCACTTGGATGGCAATAGTAAACAGGCACAGATGGGGATACTGTCTCAGCATACATATTTGTGTTATTTATTTATTTTTATTTATTTATTTATTTTATTTGTACCCTGCCTATCTGGTCATTGCGACCACTCTAGGCGGCTTCCAGACAAATAAAAATACAAAAAACAAATCCATATAGCAAGAGAAAACACCCACTCTGTCAAGTCTGTTTTTATTTGGCTGTTGGCAGTCCTCAGGCATGACAACAGAGAGAGAGATTGGAATCCCCTTTGTCATCTGAAATACAGCACATACAAAAATAAGGGTGGAGAACCATTACCTCATGGCTCCTACAGAGCCACTTGGAAAGGGGAGCTGTGAAAAGCATGCCCAGCCCTCCTCAGGGAGGGAAAAACTATTTTGCTAAGTGGTCAAGACAAGGGCTGTGGAATGTGCAGCAATGGCAAGCAGAACTCCCCAGTATGGCACCAGTCAAGACCAGCTGACAATATTGGAGGTTCAGAAGCAGAAAATGGGAGTCTGAGCCTAAGAGGAGCAAAATCGAGGTGGGGGGGAGTTCTCAGAGGTCCCTTTTGTTTGTTTGTAGGAAAGTGTCCTTGTATGAAAAAGAGAGTGCAGGACCTCACCTCATAGTGCAAACTCTGCAAGGCAGCTCTTTAAATACAGGGCCACAACGGCAAATAGCAATTAAACACATCCTGTTTTTCCTTCCTCATCTCCAGGGCCCAGTCATAGATATTGGGAGGGGTGGCTCATGAATCAAGCAGGGGGCACATAAGCTTGGAATGTCTCCTTGGGCTACTAGGCCACTGATAATTATCAGAAAAACAAAAGCTATAGAAAGAGTGTTAGCTTTAGAAATGCCTGGTTTGAACCCACAATGACAAAGTATGGAAAGCCACCTGAACCAATTAGCAGGAATGACCCAAAAACCTATAGCTTGGCCCCTATGTAACCACCTCTAACCGCCTCTTTTGTCTAACTGGTCATTCCCCCCCCCCAGGTGGCATCCAAGCAGCTTTAATTACTTCTCTGACCCTTCTTTTTCCTCATCATTTATTAATTAGCCTACTCACTATTGAACTATGGCAGCAGAATGAGATGCTAAGCCTATCAAATAGTTCTGAAATCTGAGAGTCAGACTACATGATACGTTTGTCACATTTTTGGCAGAGGTGATCTCCCAAATAGTAAAACTATTTAGTCTCAACACATCATTGCCTGACTTCTGTCTTGTGCCTCTAGTGTGCTTTGTTTTTGGTTTGGTCATCAAAAGGTAAACACAGGTCGGGATTGCCAAGGCTTGTGTCACTGTGGAAACGCTGTTGTCAGAGGGGAAAAAGGATGAACCATAAGGAATACACATTCACCTTAACACCCAGTCTGAATGAGCGTGGAGGGAAGGGTGGCACTGCCTTCAAGCTTCCTGCCTCCCTCTTAACAGTCCCATTCTGAGATCAACCAAAGTTAAGTCGTAGTAGGTATGGGGAAACGATCCTCAATCCTATTGTTTGTTGGTCAGCAAATCTCAAGTATACAATTCTGCTTAGTGGAATAACAGAATAAAATAAATAGTAGAATTATTAGAAATGAATAAAAAGAATTGATCCCTGTTACAGGAAAGCTTAGGGGAAAATGCAGTTACAACTGAAACAGGTCTACACAACACTTCAGAAAGCAAAAGGCCCAAAAGAGCATTGGCTTGTATATATTTGTACCTCTCCTAGGCTCAAACACACTATCGCTTATTTATGAAGCTTAATATCTATACATGTTCTCAAATGACCACGCTGGCCTTTGTTGTTTAAGTTTTATTCAAAAGACTCGATGCTGGCACACATCTCAGAAAAGGAAATACAGTGAAAGCTTATATCTCAATTTTCCTACACATGAATTACAATTTTAGTATATATTTTAATTAGTCCCATAATGAGGGTTAAGACAACAATGTCCAGAGCTTGGAAAAGTTACTTTTTCAGGCTGCAACTCCCAGAGCCCTAATGGCACACTGGCTGGGGAATTCAGAGGGATGTAGTCTAAAAGGTAGCTTTTCCAGCTCTGCAACAAATCAAAGCAAATGAGGCCAGAAACAGACATTAGATCAGGGGTCTCAAACATGCAGCCCTGGGGCCATTTGCAGCTCGCCGGATGATAGTTTGCAGCCCCCGCCTTGCCTGACCCCCCAAAGCACCCACGCATCCTCTGCTGTCAAGAGTAAAAAAAACAGCCTCACCTCAATCACCGGCTGTCTCCCAAGACAGCACCTCTTGCACCCTCCATCCGGAACTGCAGCCTGCCAGCCATCATGCCTGTCTGCCGGCTGGCAGGCTGCAGTTCTGAATGGAGGGTGCAAGAGGCACTGTCTTGGGAGAGAGCCGGTGATCAAGGCGTGCTGCTGGCCCTTTTCCCTGATCCACCACCAAGCGATGCCTGAGAGCATGTCGATTGTAACTGAGGCATTAACCATGAGCTCCTTTTTGAGAAAGCATCCCCTTTATTTTGCTGGGAATGAATCTGAGCTGCAACCCTAACCCCCACAAATGTCTCACATTCCTTTCTGTGGCTTTAATTTTCCCCCTCCGCTGCAGTTCCTACGATTGTTTGCGTGACGATCCCTTTGACCACGACTGGCCTTCCCTTCCTCAGCTGCCAGGAATCCACTACTCCATGAACGAGCAGTGCCGCTTTGATTTTGGTTTGGGATACATGATGTGCACAGCTGTGAGTACTTAACTGAGAGTTCTGCTGTAACTGAGTTGTTCTTCCAGGGCCTTTCACACTTGTCCCCAAAACAGAGCCTCCAAAGGAAGGCACGGTGCCTGACTTACCCAGAATAAAACATAACATATGGCAAGGTGTCGCTGAAAGTTGTGTCGCCATCCTGTTTTTGAAATCAGGATCCCAGAAATTATGATGATCTGGTTTTATTGGCTTAAAAAAATTAACGACAAAGGCAAGAGTGAGTATCTTATTACATTGCTTTTAATTATCAGGGAGAGCTCCAAACCCAACTTGGGTGAAGGGCTTCTGTTTCCCCTTTTGGAGTACAGTGCAAATATGTATCAGGACATAAACATAAGACAAACCCTTGGGCTGGATAAGACTAAGGCCTCTCTGATCCAGCATATTGTTCAAATATTGGCCAGCCAGTTGCCTTTGGAAAGCCCACAAGCAGAACATGAATACAACTATACCCTCTCACTCATTTTGCAGGTAGTAATAAGAGACACAACCGCCACTGATTTGGAAGTCAATATTGTTTGTTTGTTTTTACCCCATCTTTCTCCTGAAAAGGACCAAAGGAAACTCTAGTAGTAAGTTACTAGGGCAGATCTGTTGGATCAATGGAACTTATAGAGGAGTTGGCTCAACAAAACCTCACTCAGTGGGCCCATTCTAGTTGCAGCTTACTAGTAGGTTGCAGCCAATGTGTAGCTATCATGAGTTGACAGTCCCCAGCCCAAATCCTTCTGCATAAAGTTATGCCTGTGCAAGCTGATGGCATAATCAGCCATGAGCTTTTATTACTGATTAAAAGTTTACTATTCCATCCTCACCTCAGGTTCTGAGGCCCCCTCAGGAGCCTTGAGGATGAGGTTGGGGAACTTTTTATGCCCCAAAATTGCTGCCCATGGTCCCTGGCAGCAGGCCCTTTGGTGATGATTGATTTCCCCCCTTCCTCCTGTCCTGAGACTCCCAAAGACTCTCCCATGTCAAAAGGGCTCCTGAGAGAGCCTTGGAACCTGGGAGGCTGGAATACAAAACTTTTATTGACTGATAAAGGAGTGCAGCTGATGATATCATCAGTTTATGTGGGCAAAACTTTATGCAAAAGAATTTCAGCCCATGATCGCTTGTACTTGACAGGGCAAAGGAATTTCTTACTGTGGCTTCTTAAGGGGTAGGGATGTTATTTTTCATGCATCTCATCAACATTTCCAAGGGCGTTTTTCTTTTTGTTTTAAAAGTTACATTCCACCTTACTTCTGAAGCATTCAAGGTAGCTTACAAGAAGCCAGTAATTTAACACTCAAAACATAAAAGAAAACACTAAAACAGCAGCAGAAAATCACAGAGCAATAGCCAATAACATGTTTTAAGCAATTACAAAATAGAGGTCAATTAAATAGCAATTCAAAACTATACATTAAATGCCTTCCCGAAGAGGCCACATCTTCTCCCCCAACTTCCAGAAGGTCCACAGTGAGGAACTGAGGTGGTCTTTCCTAGTCACTAAAAAGGCAGATTTCAAATGTTTCCAGCTCAGGATGGCTAGATATTTGTGCGCCCTGTGCCTTTCTTTAGAATACTGGGGTATGTGTCCTTTGTCTCCCACCCTCTTCTGCACAATCTTAGGAGTTCAACATTTGTGGAGTGGACATAGTTTCCACTGATTCCTGCATGGTGTCCTTTTTACTCTTCAGTCGGATAGCATCTGAGTGGAATGCATTTCCCTGAAGTATGTGATGAATACTTTCTTTGTACAAAAAATGTGCAGAGACGCACAAATACACACAGAGGAAAGCAATCAGCTGTGCTTTCAGTAAATTTTTCAAAACCTCTTGTTTCAAAACAGTTTCCCAGTTTCACCTACATAATCCAATCTTTGATCCACCGTAGTTGTCCATGAAAGCTCGGCTCTCTCAAAAATCATGAACATGCATATCGGTGGTTCTGTAGTACATACAAGCTGTGCATTCATAGGTGGAGGAGCAAAGCAGCCTTGCATATGGGTCCCAATCTTTGCCACTGGCATAGACTGTGCTTCTGATGAATTAATGACCCTCTTTTACTCTTCCCATACAGCCCAAGGTTGCTTCTGTTTGGTATCCTCTCCCCTAATAACAGAAGATGCTTTAATCTAGCAGAGATTTACACAAGTGGAACACAGGCAGGAAGGCAAATTATTCCAATTCCCCCTCTCTACTGTAGGCCCCAATACCACCTTCCATAGTCTTTAGATCTCTCAACTGTCTGGAGCCCCAGGGGGAAGTGGGTGACTTCAGGGCAGGAGGAGTCACTGGAAATCATATTTGTTCCAGTTTCATTGGCGGAAATATCTGCTGTATCAAAGAGCCTTCCATCAAAATTAATAAAGCTTTACATATGTCCTGTATTCAAGAATCCTTAGAGGGGATTCAATCAATGTTCTTCATTGTTAGTGAAGCTTTTATGGGATATAATTTACACTAAAATATGTATATATAATATGCTAGTAGACACGGATTGGCAAATTCATATAACTCTCACACTAGAAGAGAATTGCTTTTGATGCCTAACATGACTGTACAAGGAGGGCATTAGACAGAGGATGTGGGAAGCACACAGACGCTGCCCATCCCTTGTACCTCCTAATTGTGCAGCTTGTATGCATGTCAAGAGAGGAGGAGGAACGCATACCTTTTAAGCCATGGGGGGGCGAGGTTATTGTTTTGTATACATTCATTTGTATGAACAGGGAAATGATCATACCCCTATATTTGTATTTCTTAGCAGTAGATAATTACACTTTCAAAAATGTTTAACAAAATACTTTCTGCTAAATCCAGTGTTAGTCCCAAGTAGAGTGAAATGAACTGATTTGTTATTCATAAATAATATTATTTTGTTGATTTCAATGGGTCTGCTCTTGGGAGTAACAAGGGATATAGCTCATAAAAATGTACATGTTATTTTTTTTAAAAAATCCTGCTCTTATGTCCCATTTGTCATCGTCTTATAAATGTTAGGTATTTGTGGTTAGTACTGTACATGAATAGTACAAATACAGTGGATTCCTTACCCCTAGCGTATAAGCAAGCGAAGCTTCAAACAGGAACACCCTTCTGACGGCCATCAACTGCTAATTAGTGGGTACTGTTTCATTGCACACATAAACAGGCCATGTTTAAGAACTGTATTTACATTTACTATAGTGCATTGGCCAAGATAATTGCTTTCGTATGTGTCTACTTGACACATATGCTCCATTTATTGAATGCAAGTAAGAAACAGAACGTATCTGTGAACTTTACTGAAATCATCCCAGCTCCTCAGGAGTATAGTCTTAAGGACACCTGGAAGAGATTTGCCTGCATGTATATCTTCGGCAATGAGTACAAAAGTAAAAAATTCAACTAAACTCCAGCTGCTGTGGATGCTAGAGAACTAAAATTAAAAGCACATCTGTGGAATGTCTACTAGCATACTGTACCCTTCTAGATTTGAATTAAGTGTATGGATGGTCTTCATTCGAGTGTTTTTGTTTGAGGAAAGCCCACTGTATTTGAACTGTTAAAGTACTTCCCACTGATCTACAGTCCAAATCCATGTGTAGTACTAGGATGTTCTGCATCCTGACAACCAATGTGTAAAGTTATTATTATAGTATAGGTCTACAAAAGCAAATGTACGTGTAAATACATATACACAACCCTTAGGAAATGTGGTTTATACAATTTTTTAAATGGCTAAAATCCTGTTGATGTAGCTATGCTTGCAGAGTGATGATGATATTACCAGCAGGTGGAGATTTTTCTTAATGAAATACGTTCTCCTTCTGTGTATTTTCTGACTTGTAAATAATTCCTTTCATCATGTGAAAACTGCTGGATGGGAGAAAGAAGTCTTTCAGGGGGAGAGTCTTGGTAATGAAAGACATCCTCCTTCTGTTGTGCAGCCCCCATGGCTTCCATATAAGGAAAGGGATTAATCACTAGAATTTTAAAAAGCTGTGGCACTGGTGACATCATCACACTTCCACAGACATACCTACAATTACACAATTTCAGACATTTAAATTTTGCTGATTCATACAATTAAAAAATAATATGGCGGACTGAAATTATGGATAAAACATAAAATTCATGGTAAGAATGACAAGCAATTCAGTCAGAAGAATGGCAGTTGAAAGAGCAGCAACAGGTTAGGTTACAGTGTAAAATAATGCACCAACCTCAGCTGAGTCAATTTGCTCCAGTGTTTTATTGAGCAAAATACTGGATTGAAGTTATGATGACATCCTCTCTTTTTAAATCCAGCTCAGACCTTGGAGTCTCAGTGCTTACCCAATGTCTAGCCGCTGTGGGAGTTTGGACATCAGGATACAGGCTGAGGTTAAATGCAGATAGCAATAAATTAATGATGCATGTCTGTGACTTGAAGGGGTGGGGGAAGGATAGTGATGCATATCTATTATTCACAGTCTCCTGCACCCTCAGTTATGCAGCACTGGAGTGCTTCTACATCTGCAGTAGCTTCTACAAGTCACACAGTGATGTCCATTTCCATTTTCTTCTGTCTGACCAGAATCTGGCACATTAATTTTATGCTTCCACAATTTCAACCTAGTTTAGTATGGTTGAAACGTTTCGCTACTCTGCTGTGTTTCATGTACAGTATAGGTATGGGGAGAAAAAACAAACACACCTGATTATAGCATAATATATGGCATAAATCCCTTCCTTCTAGTTCCGCACCTTTGATCCCTGCAAACAACTGTGGTGTAGCCATCCTGATAACCCTTATTTTTGCAAAACGAAGAAAGGACCTCCATTAGATGGAACTATGTGTGCTCCTGGAAAGGTAAGAAATTGTATCTCATAATATCCTACTGTTCAGGTTAAGTAAGAGACAAAAGCAGAAGAAAAAGGAGCGGTAGGTCATCATCACCTCCTTTCTAGTAATTTCTCTTTGGAATCTTATGTTTCGAAGCAAGAGGAAATATTCGTATTAGAGTAAGACTTAACCATGGAAACAAAAGACCTTTACAATATTCCTGGGTACAAAACTGTGTAGGCGAAAATTTAAAATGTGGAATAGACAAGGTAAAGAAATTGGTACTGTTAAGAGTAAACCCAACATCTATTGTCATAAAAATGTTTACATAGCAGTCTGCCTGTGTTTGCCATGGTTCCAAGACCATGACACTTAGACACTTGGAACATTGTGTGGATAATAAGGAAACTAGACATCTTCAGGTTATTTTGTTTGTTAAATGGATTAATTTTGGTTAATCAACATCTGTCTGCAACCTACAGTACCATCCATAAACTTTGGGCATTACTAGTTTTCTATACAGAAGGTTGGAAGCAGGCCTGGGAGAATCTTTATAGGTGTCTCCTGGTCTTGCTTCTCTCTACAGGGACCAGAATTCTTCAAACAAATGAAAATTGGTGTTGGCAGTGGTGGCGGGTAGACAGTGCCTGACAAAGAGACAAGGAGCTCATTCCTGCTATATGATATTTAAGGGAGATGAATGAAGAGAGAGAAAAGCTGAAGGAACAGGGTGGGTTGAGAGACAAAAAAACAGTGAGAAAGGAGAGGGAGGAATTAGGAAGAGAAAGAGCAGCGGGAAGTAGGCAAGGCTGCAATTTCTGCTTCTTATCTAGTAAAGTGAGATAAAAGATATGGGACAACAATTCTGAAGAATGTCCAAAAAGAGGGTGCACTGGTCCTGTTCCCCACATTTCTAAAACTCTACATAGGTTGAGGTACAAGGGTCCTGATGCTAGAGTCCATGCTGAACATGCATTCAAGTCATTGTCCCAAGTCACCATGTATCCGTACCAAGCAAGGGCTGACAGGAGTGTGCCCATGCTCCTCTCACTAGGTGCAAAGGACTTCCTAAGACATTTGGTTTGGTTTGCAATGACACATTAAGAATGCTTTTGCTTTTTCTGTTTTTTTCAGCTGTGTTAATATTAATTAATGACTTCAGTGCTTTCATTGTAGGATGACTCTATAAAGCAACCGTTTAATAAAAGAAATTAACAATGGAGACGGCAGTGCTTCTGAACAAAGCTTTATTTGCACCTTAAAGCATAACAGTTAGCAGTTGCGCATTTTAATAAAAAAAACCCTCATAGTTTACTATGACCCTTGACAAAATGTAATAAATAGAAATAATTAGCCTAATAAAAACAAAAGTAGGAATGCAGTGCTGGAAATCCCATCTCTTGGGAAATGTATTTATTGTTACTGTGTAGCTCAAAATATGCACGTTAAAGTAAATTAACTGCAGTCTTTTCAACAGTCCTAAGGCAATGAAGGAAGGATTGTGCACAAGACAACTATCACAAAAAAAACAGACATGAAGTATTGGACTTGCTGGTGTAAGAAGATTGCAGATATGACCTTGCAGGACTTTTCTTTTTCTCATTTGTATTATTCCTTACAAGCCTGAATGTATACATATTTTATGATGTTATTCGTTTGTTGCTGAGCAGGTGGTGGGGAGCCAGAACCTATCTGCACTGCCTTGCTAGAGAAACGTTGAGTGTGTGAAAGAGAAGAGTCCTGCCTGCTGCCAGATCTGGCATGGGTTAGGTGTATAAAGTGATAGGTAGCCTTCTCTCTCCCCATCTCCACCCCTGAGCTCCATTTTGGCTTAGAAAAAAAGTGAAAACCACTTCCTCCTCAAAAGTTGGAAAATAGTTCTCTTTATTTTAAAGTCTACCTGCAAGTTCACCTCTTGAGTCACCCAATCTCTGTCTTCCACCAGTCTTCCCATGCCTTTTTCTTTTTTCATGTCATGCTTCTGAGGATGGAGAGGCCATGTTCCTTCTGCTTCAGTAGTAACTAGGCCAATAATAAGCCATAAGGAGAGATAAAGTCTTCCTCCTGTTCCCTGCTCCAGTGCCTGACATGCTGCTGCAGTGTACCAGAGGACCTTGGGAAACTGTATTTGGCCTATCCTGAGCCCTGTTCAGTCATTACGTAACAAGTATCACAATGCTAACTGTGGAATCACTAGCCCACATCATCTCCACCATTGCTTTCTCCATGTGAAGAATGATTAATCTGAAAATGAAAGGTGCCTGCTCAACATGTGAGAAAACAGCCCCAATTTTCCATGATTCTTGCTCATGTGTAAAGTGTAAGTGTGAGCAGAGATATCCCCTCCTAAGATGTGAAACTCTGAACACAGAGAATGCAATGATGGACAGGGAAGGGTCTAGTTACTCCTTGCTAGGCATGTTAGTAACAGCAAAATAGGTACTATCTGAACAGGGCTGCCGTGGGTGAGAATAAAGGCCCTCCCTTTGCTCCGCTCCATGGTTCGCTGGTGATCTGGAATATAGAATATATAGACTATCCAATGAGGATTGTAGAAAGGATTTGTCATGGTGCTGAATGAGTGTGGGTAGGAAACAGCAGACCAAAAGCTTAACCATCATTTAAGGTAAGCACCAAGAGTCCCTTACACTCACATGTCTGATCTCTGATGTCTCAGAGATATCATCAGAAGTCAATATATATGTGTCATCCATTTTGCTAAGCAAAGGCATCCGTGTTCAAGTGAAGACAGGCGATACATGGGATTGGGCTTGTGTTCATCTACTTCCTGAACTCCTCATGATAAAAAGAGTGCTGTACAGATCAATGTTGCCAAAAAAAGAGGCAACACCTTTTGTGTCAGGAAAAAACAGAGCTTGAAAACATTTCCCTCAGGATAAATTTTTCAGATTACAACTCCTGTGTTCTCTGCAGGATTTTGGGACCTGTAGTCCCAAAAAAGTAACATCTCCAAGTTCTGGGATAAGATGCATGAACATTATTTTCTCCCTCATCTGCATCTCCCTCTTGCTTGCAACCTCTAGTCAGAGGCATTTCCTATCAATTACACTTTTTCGAAGCTGCTACCTCTACCCTTATCTACAAAAGTTAAAGCACAACTTAGAAGACTTACTTTTTGTGAAATACAGCTCCTAGAATCAAATAGATAGTATGCTCAGGAGCCACTTGTAGTCCATCATCATCATCATCAGGTTGTTAAATTAGACATGATAGAGTGGCTGATATATTTTATATACAGTGGTGCCTCGACTTACGAACATCCCGACTTACAACCATTTGGAATTACGACCAGCTCCAGCCGCAAAATTTTGCTTCAACATGCGGCCGGAGCTTCGAGATATACCCAGGAAAAGGCAGGGGGGAAAGGTGGGGAATTCAAATTTGCTAACCATTGGTAGGCGAAGAAGTTGCTTCTTTGTAGCTCTTTCGCCCCAACGGTTAGAGTAAGTGCGTCGGACAAGGCTTGGGACTGCCTGGTAAGGTAAGGTACTGCGTTCTGCTTTTTAAAACTGTTCTGGGTGGGTTTTGCATGGTAGGTTTTGGCTCGGGGGTATGTTTCTGTGCTGTGTTGTTGTTTTGTTTTTTGGTGATTTTTTTTTGCTGCCCCAGTGCCTTCCAATGGGACTTGCTCCATTGTTTATTTTTGGTTTTGTTTTGTTTTTAAGCCCCAGTGCCTCCGGGGCTTACTCTGTTGTTTTTTTATTATTATTATTATTATTTGTGGTGTTTTTTGTTTGTTTGTTTTTGCAGCCCCAGCACCTTCTGATGGGGCTTGCTCTGTTGTTTATTTTTGGCTTTTTAAAAAAAAGCCCCAGCGCCTTCGGGGCTTGCTCCGTTGTTTATTTTTAGTTTGCTGATGTAGTTTTGCAGTCCCAGCATGTTCCTATGGGGCTTGCAGTGTTTTATTTTTATATTATTTGGGGGGGTGTATTCTTTTTCTTCTGGAACGGATTAATTGCCTTCCAATGCATTTCAATGGGACATGGTGCTTTGACTTACAACCAGTTCAAGTTACGTCCAGCCTCCAAAAACCCATGGGAACATCAGGTAGAGAAAATGAGGAAGTCAAGAGTTTGTGGGATTTCCGGATCCAAACTGATAGACACCTTGAACATAACACACCAGACATAGTAGTAATAGAATGAAGAAATGACTGAATCATTGACATTGCAATTCCAGGGGATGCTAAACTTGAAAATAAAGAACAGGGAAAACTAACAAAGTACAGAGACCTAGCAATCGAAACATATCTCCTCTGGAAGAAACCCACTTCAGTGGTCCCCATAATCATTGGGGCTTTGGAAACAATATCAAGAAACTTCACACAGTACTGTAAGCAGTTGCAGATCTCAGAAATCACACCATCAGAGCTACAAAAAATGGCAGTATTAGGAACAACATAGATACTGCGCCAATATTTAACAGATACATAGATTTTTGATTAAAACTTGTATCTGTTGTTTAATACCAGTCAATTTTTAAAAATTATTTTTAATTAACTAAAGCATAAACATAAACATAAAATACACAAACCAAAATACAATTTAACTGTATTCCCCACCACTGTAGATGAGACCTCTTGCAATAATCTTCTTCCTCAATCTATATTCTTCCTCTTCTTTTATTGTTCTCTTCTCCAGAATGTCATTGATTCTTGATTTGGAGCTTTCCCCTTTCCTCTTGTTAGTACATATTCCAAGAATCTGCCCCATATTTCATAAAAAAATATTCTTTTTCAACTGTCCTTTCTTAACCTCTAGATTACAAGTTAATTTATCATTTATAGCTATGTTCCATATTTCATTATGCCATACATCCATGTGAAATTCAGATTTTTATTTTTATTGCCTAGCTATTATTAATCTTGCTGCTGTTAATAAATTAGTTATCAATTCTTTAATCATCTTATCATATTCCACATTCTCAAATATTGATAACAAAGCAATCTCAGGATTCAATTCTATGTCTTTTCCTCATATATCATTTAATTCTTTAAAAATTTGTTT